TATATATATTCTGCAACAGTTGTACAGTAACTAAGTATAAATACTTCTTTACTGTGCTTAAGTAGAATTTTTGAGTATCTGTACTTTACTTGAGTAGTTTTTTCAGCATACTTTTTACTTCTATTTCGTATATTTTCCAAAAATTATCTGTACTTTCTACTCCTAACATTTTTTTTAAAGGGCAAGAAGTACAAAGTCGTTACTTTAATTTCATTTTTGCTTGTTTTCATTCCAGCTTGTTATTGTAAAATAGAAATACTATCCATATAAACTGTGCCTCCTAGATAGAGTGAATTTAATTGTGGTTGAACGAGAAGTACAAATATATAAAACTCTGATACTGAATTAGTTTGTACACAAACAAATCATGTCAGACTCCAGCAGGACATAATCATTAAAATAAAAGGACTGTACTTAAGAAGTATTTGTATTTCATGAATTATATTATTACATTTGGCCGCAGCCCTCAGACAGATTTTCATTTTGGGGAAAAGGTTTGTGCAGCCTTGATGTATGTATATAAACTGAAACAGCTGCACTAGTGCATCCTAAATTTAACATAAATTAATTATTTTAATACGATATAGTCGTTTCTGCATTTTTTGGAGGTCACCACCTAATACTCATTTTAAATCAATACATTTACTTTTAACACTTAAGTACAAAACATATCAGATACTTTAAGACTTTTACTCAAGCAATATTCCTAAAGAAGGCTTTAACTTTACCAAAATAATTATTTGGTAAGATACTTGTACTTTTACTCAAGTATCACTTTGTGGTACTTTATACAAGACTGTTCTACAGCTTTTACTTATTTCCAATGTATTCTGAGATTAAAGTCAAAATTCATAGAAAAAAACTGTAAGAATTCAGAAAAAAAATCTGAAAATTGTATTAAAATAATTATTTATTGGCCCTAATCCTCTTCCGCAATCACCAACGCTACTGTGATGTGGTTGCCTGGAAACAGAATCCACCTTTTGCGTGCTGACGCTGACTGCGCATGCGCGGTACGTCATCAGGCAGGGAAGCATCATGGCGGCGTCCAGTGCTCGGTGTGTTTGGCGGAGAGCTATGGTCCCGTCCTTGGTGGTGATTTTGGGAGCTACCGGCACTGGAAAGTCCAAACTGGCGATTGAGCTCGGAAAACGGCTTCAGGGAGAAATAATCAGCGCCGACTCCATGCAGGTAGGAGCAGAAAAACCATGGATGGAGAAAGTTCTCGAAACTGGAGCTCAACACTCATTGGCAGAATGAATGATTTCAGCTCAAACTAATACTGATTAGTCAGAAAAATAAATGTAAATTCCGAGTGTCTAGAAGCTGAATATTGTTTAAGTTGGTTTTAAGATACACATAATATTTTGTTTGTTGTTAGCGTTAAAGCATAACACCGCATTTGACCCTCGTTGTGAATAAACAAGATGTAAACAAACTGTATTTGACGCTTAAAAGCGTGTTTAAACTAGCGTGAGAAGAACAACTGGCTGTTAAAATGAGTCTGACTGTCCTGTAGACAGCTGAAGAGAGCAATTATAGAGATAAATGCAAAAAGTGTTCATATTAATTTATATGTGTGTTATGTTAAAGGGAGGTTTAGCTAGAGAGGTTTACAAATGCGTAGCAAGTGTATTTTTAAATACAAATTATGTTTCTTAAATTTGAAATACTCCTTTAAACTCTTTTTTTCGTATTTAGTAACCAACTTAATGGCAAAGACATCCATTTACAACAGTAACCAAATATTCAACCTCTTAAAGAGGTTTTATTTTAAGTTACTTTATAATTATTTTAAGTTGATTGTGTCTTTTGAGAAAGTGTGCACTTTTCAGATGAATATTTTGAACTATACTATCAATCATAATGGGTAAATTGAGACATTTAAAAAAAATCATATTAGTCACTGAACGAACACACTAGCTGTCAGATGTGGGACACAAAGTTAAAGTGCTCATTTGTCTTCGTCACTGAATCAGACTGTAAACACAGACATCTGATGACCTGTACAACCAACTACTTTGGTAAATATCTTGCACCTTTCTACTCTCCGATCATAATATTCACACGTATTTCTCTTCTCATAACTATTAGTTCATGTTCTGTGGAAAAAGAGGTTAAAAGCTGTACGTCTGCAGTTTTCTAGTGTGTGTCTTTACATTATATTCTCCTACACAGTGAGGTATCAGTCTGACCTGTCGTCCTTATCCAAATGTTTATTACGATGTGAAATGCTCAATCCAGCTTTATCACAGTGGTATATTGATTTGTTTGGATGATGATACAATGTTTCTCAATATACAATTTAGATTCAATTCAATTCACAAGTCTGCAGTTAAAATGATGCAATATATCCATTTAACACAATGATGGGCATATGACATGAATTGGTGTGTTGTTACACCCTATTCCCTGGTTGGGATCACTCTTAGCCCGTTACAAGTTTTTAAGTTGTTTTATTCTGGCAATATGATGCAAAAATAAAACTTTTCTCACCTAAAATCAAATAAAAATAATCAGTGGAACTTTCATCATAAAGATTTTTCTAAGCTAAATATCACCCAGACCAAATGATTGCTAGCAGGCCGTTGTGTCCAAAGTAACCACCTGCCTGTATCACCTGGGCATGAGCGGGGATGGCGGCTGGTCATTGCAAATGCAGCCTGATGCCATCTTCAACTCTCGCTGTGTAGTGTGGCTTGCAGAGGATGATGGAGTTCATGGTCAACTCAAGGACTAAAAACCCAAACCATGAACCCTCCACCTCTGTGCTGGACACTGAAAACCCCAGGGTGGCACCAAAACCAACAGCCAGAACAGAATAGCAAGAGATTTATGTTGTTGTCATATTTATTTAATCTGACAATTAGAGCAATATGGGAGTTTGGGAATCACCTTCTGATTTACATAGATGTTCGTCTTAGTGACTTTAATTCAGTAATCAAGCATTTTTTTAGATGCAGCTAACAATTATTATAATAATTAATCGTTCCATTATTTTTTTGATTAATCACTGAATTTGAAAACAAACAAACAAACAAACAAACAAACAAACAAACAAACAAACAAACAAACAAACAAACAAACAAAAAAAGAAAACATTTTTAATTTTGACAACTTTGTTC